CCTTATTTTGACCTTGTAAAGGAGTGTATTGAAAAGTTAAAACTTCAGGATAAACCTGCTCAGATATGGAACTTAGATGAAACTAGTTTCAGATCAGATCCATCAAAAACCAAAGTCGTAGGACAGACTGGAGAACCCGCTACAAAAACCACAAGCGGACCAGGTAGAGAAAGTATTTCAGTACTTATGGCTTGTAACGCAGCTGGTGAAAAGGTACCCCTCCTTATAGTATTTTAAGGAAATAACGTGTACGACGAATGGACAGCTCCGGAAGAAGATTTATCCCAGCCAACCGTGGCATATGCGGCAACTGAAAACGGATGGATGGAGACAGACGTTTTCCGAAATTATTTTAAAAAACAGTTAATACCGATGTTTCAAAATAAAAGGCCAATACTGCTAATTTACGACGGACACTCCACTCATGTTGGTATAAAACTAATTGAAGAAGCTATGAATAACAAAGTTACAATTCTTAAGCTTCCCCCCCACTCCAGCCATTTATTGCAGCCTTTAGACTTAAGTGTGTTTAAGCCTCTTAAAGATATATGGGATGCTCGACTTGTTAAATGGCAGAGGCAAACCCCAGGAAGGAAGCTAATGAAAAAATCATTTTCAATACTTCTGAAGGAAACTTGGGATAAAACAAACAAACCGGAAGTTGTACAACGGTTGAAAGAAAAATAAGAGGCGGCAAAAAATAAAAAAAAAGAAATCTGATCTACGAAAAGTTGACCATACCGGCGAAAAACAAAACTCATGCATAAAATCAAAATGAGCTAAAAATAAACGCAAAATACGTAAGATAGAATCGGATAGTGACGATTCAGAATCTTTAGAACTTGAGGGAAACAGTTCTGATGATGGCATTCAAACACTTGAAGATTTATCCGAAGAAATGCAGAGAGAAGAAAATTACTTGACAAATATTTCCAGAAAGGTTTCGGACGTAACTATAGAAGATTGGATACTAGTCAAGTTTCCAACAAAGAAAACAATTAAATATTACGTCGGAAAAATTCTTAACATGGATCCACTGCAAGTTAAGTTCACACGAAAAAGCGGTTTTCATCAAAAGAAATCTATTTTTCATTTTCCTACTGTCGACGATATCTCCCAAATAGCAGAAGATGATATTATAAAAGTTCTTCCAAACCCTGAAGTTGGGAGAACTTTTATTTACAGTGTCTTTTGACGGTTTTTTTGTGCAATAAAATATTTTTGTTAAGTGCACACAAAACAACTGAACATTTTTTAGTTTTAGAATTTAATACTTTTGTTAGTTAATTATTACAATTTAACCAAAAACAATTTTTCGTCTGTAAAATGTGATCTCAATTACGAATCTATCATGTTTGAGTTAATAACTTTTTTATTAATAAAAATATCAAAATGAAAAAAAAAAACTGCCGAATACAAAATTTTTCAGAGAAAACCGCACTTACCGACAGCAGTCTACAATAATTTATATATGAATTTTGTCATGGGTGCGCGCACTTATCCAAAGTCGAAGGATAAGTGCGCCCCCCCTTAACAACTAAAAAAAAATTTTTGTTTTAATCTTAACTGTTATCTTCAGAACTACACAACAGGCAAAAGTTCGTAGTTTTTATGTATAGCGATACATATAAAAATAGTTGTACGAATATATAATAGTTTACCTTACATTTTCTATATTTGAAAATCAACTCACTGAAAATCGGGTCGCACTTACCCAGGTTCACCTTATTGAAATTAAAAATACCTTTGGAGCAATGGAAAATGCACTTTAAAAAAAGGTTTGGATGATTAAATTGAAATTAAGAAAGACAGTTATTACTTATAAGAGGAATGCTAATTTGCTCTCACCACTTTACAAAAGAAGATTTCGTCCATCCAGGTTTGTAATTTTTTTAATTGTATTTTTATTATTATTAGTTATTAACTAATATTTTTACATTTCTAATATGAATTTTTTGTTTGATCTGCTAATTTATGCATTGTAGATCTATGTTCCTTGGAATTGGTATTTTTTGCCTTACATCAAATGAGGCAGTTCTGATTTTTTTATATGTCGGTAGTGATGAGATGGTAATGAAAAATCCAAATTTTCCACCTCGAAAGCCCTTTGGAAAATTGTTAAATACTAAAAATTCTTTAAATATTTTTGTCAATTTTTACCACCAAGGACCTGTGTTACGGCAAAAATTACTATGCACACTTTTAAGTAGACTAAATTTGCAATGAAATTAGAATAATTTGGTTTTGGTAGACCAAATAGTTTATAAGATACGGCTACTTAAAAGTTTGCAAAATTTTAAAAAAAGGAAGTAATACTTTTTTTAGTTTTCGAAAATTTTTACTCCTAAAGACTGGGTTTTTGGGAAAAATTACTTTTTTTAGTTATTAGAGTCCACTAAACTTCCAACAAAATGAGACCCATTATGTCAACTTACACCTGATAGTTCCTGAGACATAGCTGTTCAAAGTTGTTGAGGTAAGTAAACAATTATATACCAGAAGGGTTTGCAAAATGAAGTAAGTGAAATAAGCATTATAATATTATTAAAATTTTTACTAATTGAAACATTAATATGAAAAATGTAATGAAACGCCTCATTATATTTTATGTACAGTACAGTTAGGGAAATAGTTATTACTCGCATTTTTTGTATATTTTTGATGGACCGGACTCGTCTTCTGAATCCACAGCACACCTTTTGGGGGCAGCTTGCTGAGGCAGAATTTCTTCAGCGAACTGCTCAGCAATCACAACTGCTGATACAACCTTTTTTGCAATTACAAAAAATCATATTTAGCAGAACTTGAGGAGCTGGTAGTGCCATCATCTGTTGAGGAACGAGGCCTTGTGTACTTCGCATCCAGCCCCAATCGGGAGAATTCTTCTCATTTCCCAGGCATTTCTGCCCAAAATCGGTCATAATAAAATAAGTAACGCGCATGTCCACTCACGCACTACTTTAAAACGTTGGAGAGAAAAATGGCCCAGCGAAATTGGTGGAGTGAGATGAGTACTTATCGTCGAATGAGCATTACAAAAATTGTTTTTTTGGAGGCTCGTACCACTTGTATTGCCTATAGCTAGATAAGCGCCCCGGTCTAAATATCGGGCTTTCGTGAATTCATTGAACAAGTATCATTGTACACTTTAATCATAAATTTAGGCATAAGAAAATAAATCACAAAAAATTTGCACTTTGGCTTTAGGACTAATACAGTAGCTCTATGTATACGGAATTTTGGGACACCCTTTATTTCAGGTACACCATATTGTGTAATATTAATATTCCAAAGAGATCGATAATAATTTAATTGTAGGCGTATTTTGACGTCATTCGTAGGCAATTTGTGTGATAAGATTAAATTACTAAATAAAAACTATTTGTTTTTTATTTAATGTAAGAGTCGTTTATTTTGAAAGTGGCCTTAAGTCCATTTATACCTAAATTACGATATTTACTATCGATAATGTCCGAAGACAGTGATGAGGTAATTTTAATTAATTAGTATTTAACCTCAGTTTTTGGACAAACGCATTAGTTGAATAATCAGTACGTTTTAATTAATGCAGTTAAACAAAATTTACAGAAACTCTTAGATATCTTAATCTAAGTATAAATGGACTTAGGCCACTTTCAAAATAAACGGCGCATAATATTTTTTGTTATTAAATATTTATTTTCGTTTTGGGACATGATTTGATAATAAAAGCATCTTTCAGAGAAGATGTGTAAATGTATTATTATAAGAGTTTTTTTTTATTATTTTGATTTTTCAGTAAATGTAACGTTTTCGTATCTATATATTTGTTTAAAATAAATTAGAAAAAACATTTTTTACGTTGTACAGGGTAGGGTGTCCAAGATTAGTATGCAAGGTTTGCCAAAATCTAGAAGTGATAAAAAAAATTGACTTTTTGTTTGTTGTAATAACTTTTGTTCATCCAAATCTTCAATAGCTCCCGTCATTTGCGAGACACAGAGCGATTATTGGAAACTGTCGAAAAGTACTTACAAGTACAACTTCTTTATTAAGAAAAAGAATAAAAAACTTTGTACAAACTTTTGATAGATATATTATGTTCGTCTTTAGTGGCGTACACATTTTTTTATAAAGGGGTCTCACTAAGGATATATAATATAAACTTTTTTTATTGGGACACTATTTATTCTAAAATTACTCGTTTTCATTTTTAATTTTCTTTTACCTGATATTATATCTATCGTCCGCAGTTGGAGCTACAGATCAATTAAAATGTTTATTGTTTCTATCATGTTTAAAGACACTTAAAAACTTAAACACTTAACGCAATTTGAATTATGAACAGTTATTTAGAGTAATGTAATGTGAGCCATTTCATAAGTCAGTATTATATGAACAGTGAAGATAAATAGTAATCAGTTGATATATGTACAGTGAAGATAAATAGTAATTAGTAGATAGACAGTGGTGAATATAAATAGTGATCAGTTTAAAGACATTCGAAGTATATATAAATTAAAATAGTATTGTTTAAAATAAATAAGTGTTAAAATAAATTATTAATAAATAAACTGTTGTTTGAAAATAAACAAACATCACAGTAATTTTTGTTTTTTTTTTTTTTTGTATATTTAGTATAATGAAAATTATTTTGGGCTTAAACAATTTTTATTTATAAATGGATCTGTAATTGTCCACCCCTATACCTCTTTGATTTTTGTTTAAATCTGAAATCTTACTAATTACCTTTCAATTTTATATTACTTTAAATTCTATACTTACTGTATTTAGCCTTTTTCCTCTAGTAGTAGTAGTAGTAGTATTACCTAGTAGTAGTGAGGGTCTAATTGATTACTTGATAATTTATATATCCAAGTTGTATTAATCTAATAAAAATAAACCAGGATTCGATATAAAGATTGGTGCAAATTGGTAAATAAAATCATACAAATATTTATTTAAATCTTTTTATTTTTCATACTATAAATGTAATGCAATAATTTGCAAAGTATGAATAGGTACTTTTTACTGAGATCTCACCTGAGTCTCGCTCAAATGCAGAACGTTCATTTGCTATCAAGATATATTTTATTTAGCTTGCTGACTAATGTAGTTAACGAACAGCGCTAATTCGCCAGTTGGTTAACTTACTGTGTTGATGTTTATATTTTATTTAGCTTGATTTCATTCTAGATATACTTTAGATTGCATTTTATTAGATATTTATTTTGACGAGTATAGAGGTGATGACCAACGGATTTAACAAACAGCGCCAATTCGCCAACTGGTTAACTTACTGTGTTGATGTTACATACACTTTATAGTTTTAATCTAGTAAAATGGGTGGCTAGTATAGGTAACCCCCTTGAGCTAAGGAACAGTATCAATTAACCAGTTGGTTAACTTACTATTACTTTTTACCATCTAGGTTTATTTAGATATTTAACAAAAATGATACATCCCTGCATATTTCTAAAATATTGATATTTATTATTTTAATCTAAAAGATCTAAATTCATCCACCGAAAACATATGTTAACTTAACTGTCTTTTGGAGTAAATGCCCAAATGCCATGTGGTTCATTTTTGGTTACAATAATATTATTTTGAAGCAAATGTCAGGTCTAAAACGAAACACCGGTGATATCTTAAAAAAATTACATTATCCTTTTCGACTCACCATTGAAAATATAAACATTTGGTTCGTCTAAACATTATGTACTTATTTTATCCAGCGTTTTAACGGTGTCGGTTCTGGGTACGTCGCAGCATTGAGCATCGCCTTGCATCAAGACGCCTAGCGTCGAGGCGGAGAGGAAGGTATTTGTTACGGTACTACGTTGGGATGAATTTTAACGGTATGTCCTTCATACCATTATTTTTCTGACATCTCTTTTGTCTTATCTCTTTCCTTGGATGACAAATCGGGTCTGTCAGTCAAATTTTATTTCAACTTTACTTGCTTTACTCTGATTAAGAGATTATTTTTTTTTAGTGACCATCAGATGAATGCAATGCAACATCTGAAGGCGATGCAACATCAAAATGGTATTTTTTATAGTTAAATGAAGAAGAATCTCTATGATCATCGTTTTATGGGAAGAATAATTTTATGGTTTAATTTGAAGAAAGATTAAGATTGCTATCTTGTTATATGAAGAAGTATTTGCTGATTTAAAGAAGTATTAACATCTTAAGGACCTACGTAGTACAATAGAAGACTCTTCATCGTAGATGAGACCTATTACACCCCCTTGAAGAAGCACTACCTCGTTGAGAAGTCCCTTATTTTTGTACAAAATACTAATTAATAAATACTTGTATACTCGGTACGAATATGGCACTCGCTGGGCTACTGTCATAATTTAGCAACTAGTCTTCATTAAAAGCTCAAATGTCTTTACATAAATATCAATTTATTTAACATAATATATATATTTGTATTACATTTCAAAGGATCATTTCATTATTCCAATAAGCATTATTAGAGAGATATTGCAAATTTGTATAACGTCAGCCACTAATAGTGACAACGTATTTAGAGGGTAATAAATTCCATGCTAAAATAAGACTTATTGCAAACCTGAAGTTTTGATATTAGAGTCCTTTTTCTTAAACATATTTCTAACCTCATTTTAAACTACAGTTCATCTTTTTTGTTGTCTGTAATAGTACATAATTTGGAAGAGGTATTAGAAATTATCATCTTAGAAGGTTTTGATGACGATGATATTAAGTATTTAATATTAAATAACTTCGAACTGATATGAATATCGGCGAACGCACCCGAAAGCTATAAAGTTGCCACTCTCTGTTGCCCTTAAACATCCACAATTAAGGACAGGCACAATCTTTAATAAAGTTAGTTCTAGAACCTAAATAAGAGAGGCGGTAATAGTGACTGACCTTAAGTGAACTTGCAATAACTCTCTATTAACTAAATTATATATTTTATTAAATAAGCACATAATAAATTCTTCAGTTATTTTTGTTGCCTTGTTCTAGATACGATTGAATGGGATAGAGTTTCTCCCAAACTTCAAAACGATTCTCATTAAGTTTTTCCTTGACTACCAGCCTTTTGCCAATATCTAAATATTTTCTTTCTGTTAGATTATATGGTTCCCATATTGTGTTATCCAATGCTTCTGATCTACCAGGTGTTGGATTCCTGAATAATAAATTTCGAAACATGTTTAAAAGTTCGTTATGAAGTGTAAAAGATCTTTACAAAAACTTACCATATACATATTCCATAGGTCAAAATAAACCGATTTAAATAAACAGTGTGGGCGATAGATGGCCATGAAGTGACAATTTTTAAATTGTTTCTACATTACAAATTTAAACGGTTAATGTGGTTTTACCTAAATTTAGTACTTTCACAGAGTTTTATATGACACAAAAAAGTATGAAAATACTTATGACTAAATCCATATACGTAAAATTTGATGCTTACAATAGTTTAACACGGAAAGAAAGAGGTTTGACTATAAAATTTTACTTCAAAAGGAAAAACTTGTATTTCGTGCCAAACTTTTTTATTAATCAATGCAAAGCGCTTTCGGCTTATTTGCCATCATCAGTGCTCATCTACAAAAATTGTGGATGTAAATTTACAATTTAAAAAGATTTTAAAAAAAAATTTATAAAATCTGAATTAGACTTTTAAGTCAAAAGTTAAAATAGTATATATACAATTGTTTGAACAAATTAAAAATTACAAGAAACAAACAAAGTGACAAAAAACTGGTATTGGGAATAGTGAGTGTGGGATAAGCCCTTACAAATCAAATCTGATCTCCAGAAGCAAGTTAGCTTGTGTGGAATTAAGGAATCATGCCACCCTCACTATTCACAAAATTGAAAAAAGGTTAACAAATTAGTTAAAATTTAAAGAAATTTACAATTAGAGGGTGACTGTGGAAGATATATTGAAATTTGAATCTAGAATACAATGCTATATTCATGCTATATTCATAGACTTCTTTCAATTCCTCTAAATAAAATTAATTATCTTCAAGAATTAAATATACTTAAACAAATTGCATTTAACAACGGGTATGACCCGGACATAATTCAATCTCTAATCACCAAAATTAAGTTCAAGAAAATTCAAAAATTAGCCTACCCCAATTTAAGTCACATGAATAATTTTTACATATCAATCCCCTTCTGGGAAAATAACTTAGCTAACAGCATTTCAAAAATTTTTGCTAACAACGTAGATAACATTAAAGTATCTTTAAAATCAATTAATAAACTAGACTCCCATCTAGTCAACACAAAAGACAAAACGAATTTGTTAGATAAGAGTGGAGTATACAAGCGATTGCGATGCCAGTTATATCGGCAGAACTTGTAGATCTCTGGGAGTCCGGATAGGCGAGCACATCAAGAAGCCGGACACATCTGCATTCGGACATCACTTAAGGTTCAATCAACATAATTTCAGCCCAACAAAAAACTCCAAATTATTAGTTAACTTAAACACAAAAAATTTCAATTTATTAGATTTTCATGAAGATGTTGAAATTACTCTCGAAAGAGACAACAATATACTCTGTCTCAACACTCAAGTGAACCTTAACAGAAATTTCATACCACTCCATAGACAACTCAATTAACCCTCTATGATGATGTAGGTCCGAGTCACCCAACACAAGCCTTCGAGAGCCATCCCCTCCTAAACTCGATTTCACCCATCAGAGCCTACCTTTGGGACCATGGTACTCCTTTGTTTAAAACTTTTTTTTTCTCTATTTTGTCTCTTTTAACCATGAGTACGCTTGTTGAGTGATTTAGTAATTTTTAGGACTAAACATCAGATTCACCTGTAGGGACCGCGGATTCAGTTGTGCCATCTTGGGTTCTCTGAAAGAATGTTCTGCAGAGCCCGGGTTGGCACATCAGAATCACGCGAGTGACATTTTTGTTTTGTCTTGACATCAAAATAATAATATCATTTATATTAAACATTTATTTAAATTTAACTAACAATAAATTAAATCTTTAAATTCAATAACAAATTTTGATCTCCGTTAACCTCCAATCACTCGAATCACACTCGGAGAAATATGTTCCACACTGAGGTGAACGCACCTCCTTCTGTTGACATTTGACAAGTCAAAGTCTTCAAGTGTCGCTTGTCACCACTGTCATGTGGAAACGGTTAAACAACTTGAACCAAAATGAAGAGAGAAATTTAAATTTGAAAATATTAATATTAATAAAATTATGATTTAGCAAGTTGTAAATATCCCGAAATATATAATTTTGGGAGTGAGGATGACCAGGAACTTGTTGGATACGTTGTGGACAGTAGGTAGATTTTTTCATAATTATAATGTATATAAAACATATGAAAAACAAACCTTCAGTTTTTTTTTTTACTTTGGCCTTCTGCGTTTTACTTTCTTCATATCAAACATTGTATTCTAGATTCAAATTTCAATATATCTTCCACAGTCACCCTCTAATTGTAAATTTCTTTAAATTTTAACTAATTTGTTAACCTTTTTTCAATTTTGTGAATAGTGAGGGTGGCATGATTCCTTAATTCCACACAAGCTAACTTGCTTCTGGAGATCAGATTTGATTTGTAAGGGCTTATCCCACACTCACTATTCCCAATACCAGTTTTTTGTCACTTTGTTTGTTTCTTGTAATTTTTAATTTGTTCAAACAATTGTATATATACTATTTTAACTTTTGACTTAAAAGTCTAATTCAGATTTTATAAAAAAATTTTTAAAATCTTTTTAAATTGTAAATTTACATCCACAATTTTTGTAGATGAGCACTGATGATGGCAAATAAGCCGAAAGCGCTTTGCATTGATTAATAAAAAAGTTTTGCACGAAATACAAGTTTTTCCTTTTGAATCTAAACTACGTGCACACAGCTGTCAACCTTTTTTGGTTTTTTTAATTATAAAATTTTAGATTGCGTAACTCTTTTACCACATAAAAGGTAATTTTGATAATACTCTCAAAATAGTTTGGAGCGTGGGTTATTGTGTATTTGTAGAAATAGAATAGTAAATCTAGTAATGTTTTATTTGTATAAGTTGGTAACACGATATTTCAGTAGTCATAAATAAAAACTGTCAATAATTGTCAAATGTCATATCAATAAAAATTCGTAAAAGTAGTTATGTGTTTGTTATAAACTTATGTGAACCAAGAACTAATTGGCTTTATTCAGTAGAAACTTCACATAAATGATGACAACTAATGACAAAGATAAATAACATATATAAGGGGTAATACAATTAATAAAGGGGAACTCATATTTTTATATCATTCTCCCCCTCTTCAGAATCTTTCATATTCTTCGAAGTATTTAGGAGGTTTCCTGTTTCTAGCTGGGCGACTTTCTTCAGATGGTAAAATACTCCTAGAGATAGATTTCGAAATTTGATTTTCTAAAGAAGTAGGGACCGTTTCACTCAATTCAACAAAGTTTCCTGGAGTAGCCGATGGAGAATTCAAGTTTTCAGTGGATGTAGGCACTAAAATGGGAGTCAAGGGAACATTAGTAGAAGAAGGGAACAAACAACTATCATCTTCAATTTCTTCAAGTGAACTGTTCTCAATAATATGCCCTCTTGGTTCTAAATGACGATTTGAGACCGTTATTTCTTTTCCATCGGACATTCTTACATACGAAAATTCAGGATTACTTTTTAATAGTTCGACTTCTTCCACAATAGGTTCATACTTGGATTTACGAACCTGCTTCTTTAATAGTATAGGACCCGTATCAGCTAACCATGAGGGAAGAGATTGTCCATTAACTGAACGTCTATAGTGGTTGAACATTCTTTCATGTGGAGTGGCGTTTATTGCGGTGCATAACAAAGACCTAATTGAATGGAGAGCTTCATTTAACACACATTCCCACGCAGAAATTTTTAAATTTTTGGATTTTAACGCTAACTGTATCGTCTTTCATATTGTACCATTTTCCCTTTCAATTTGGCCGTTGCCTCTTGGATTATATGGGGTAGAGTGACTCGAGGCAATTCCTCTTAAAGTAAGAAAATCCTTAAATTCTTTAGAAGTAAAACAACTTCCATTGTCGGTATGAATAAAGGAAGGGTAACCAAAAATTGCAAAAATTTTAGATAAGTGTTTTATTACTTGAGAAGTGGATGTATCTGGACAGGCAAAAGCAAAGGGAAACCTAGAGTATTCATCGATTATAGTTAGTAAGTACTTGTTAAAGGATGAAGAAGGCAAAGGTCCCTTAAAATCTAACGAGAGCCTTTCAAAAGCAGTGGATGATTTGATTAGGGTACCTGTTTGTTTGAAAAAACGAGGTTTTATTTCAGCACAGATTCTACAAGATAACGTCATTTTCCTAATTTCTTCTACAGAGTATGGCAAATTCTTGGATCTTATCCAGTGAACCATCCGTGTTATCCCTGGATGACACAAAGATGTGTGTAAACTATATAGAGTGGATTGTGCTCCAGAACCAGCACAAATCCGAGAGAGTGTATCACAAATTGTATTGTGAGGTCCAGGACGATAAACTATTTCAAATTTATAACATGAAAGTTCCAGACGCCATCTTTGTATTTTTTAATTTTTAATTTTTCTTTTGTGCTTGGTATTAAACATGAATGAGATGGATTTCTGATCGGTTATAAGTTGGAATGGGCGACCGATGAGGTAATGTTTCCATTTCTTCAGAGATTCGACAATGGCATAAGCCTCTTTTTCTACTGCCGAATGTCGCTTTTCGCTATCTGTTAAGGTTCGAGAGAAAAATGCCACAGGTCTTCCAGATTGCGATAAAGTAGCAGCTATTGAATGATCCGAGGCATCGGTTTCAACAGTGAACGGAATACTTTCATCAATCGCGTTTACCATAGATTTTATTATGTCAGATTTTAAAACGTGAAAAGCAGACTGTTCTTCATTAGTCATTGGAAATTTAGAACATTTTATCAGAGGTTGGACTTTTTCGGAAAATTTTGGAATCCATTTGGCATAATGAGAAAACATTCCTAAAGCCCTTTTTAAAGAATTGTTGTCTTGTGGTATAGGAAATTCGGAAAGAGATCTCAAGCGGTCTGGATCCGGTTTTATTATTTTATTTTCTGTTATAACCTAATAGCCTTATCGATTTTTATGAGAATTTTGACTTTTGCTTGTTAATTGT